CGTCTATCTCCTGGCACCTGGTATCCACACTACTTGGCAGATGAGGACAACTGGACATCCTTTTTCTACAAAGCTGCCAACTCAATCCCCACTGCCCCATGTCTGTTTAAAGGCTAGTGCTTAAGCCCCATCACCTCTTAAACGACGTACAGCAGCACATGCCTATAATGCCAGCACCTGGGAAACAAAGGCAAGAAGATCAGAAGTTCAAGCTTCACATCCTCAGCTACATTGCAAGTTCAGGGCCAGCCTGGGCTGTATGAGACACTGTCTCAAAAAGGGTCAGCCTCCATCAAGTGAGTCTCTCTATGGAATCCCTCAGCTTGTACAGCCCATGGCAGATAAATATTCTTTCTTTCCTATTTCCCCATCAAACACCAATTTTCACTTTTTTGAGGGAATGCAAAACCCATCCTGGTCAGGTATGTTAACAGGGATTCAAAATAAAATGTCACCAGCAAAGCAGAAGAAAAACTGACTTTTACTACTGAAAAGTTGGAGCTTCAGTGGAGCCACAGGTAAAAGGACAGGATATGATATGTATATCCCTGGCAAGAGAGTGGTTCAAGATTCCTAACCACTGAGCAGTGGTTAGGAATGCATATTCATTCCTACAGAGCTCTGAGAGTCCAGGGTTGGCCCTGCAGTGCCATGGGCTCCTACTGACTGCATAGTTGCATGCAGGGCTGACTTCTGATGCTGTCTTAGGGATATCGCAACCAAACAGCCTGAGCTGGAAATTCATTTTAATGTGTGATATTAACCAAAAGAGAGCATAGAAAAAGAAAAGGAGGGAAAATTCAGAGGCTAGCTAGATGTAACGAACTACGTGAGCCACTAACTGCCTGGCACTTCAAATAAGCAGGTCACGTTTACAGAGGCTGCTTCCACCACTGTAATTAGAGATGGGCAGGGCTGCTGCTAACTCTGAGAAGGAAAAAAAAAATGACTTGGCTCGTTCCCATTTCCAGTAGTGAAAGTAGCAGATAGCCCCAGAGGACAGACTCTGTGAGAGCGGTACCAAGGGCCATTCTGTCCTAGACAACTGCTTTTGGAAGCAGCTGATGCAGGATAGAAATCCTCCCTGGAAACAGACCGCCCTGTCTAACAGACAAACTCAGTGTCATCAGTGCCTAGGCCATACAAATCTACTTCCTTTTCTCTTCCTTTCTCTGGAGAAAAAAAAAAGGAAAATGTGGGCGAGGATCGGCTACCTGCTAATGTTAGGGACAGAAATGAACACAGAGTCACCAGGTCCAAGAGCAGGAAACAGAAAGGAGTAAGCAGACACGGAAAAGGAGAGTGCGAGCCTCACGCTAGCCTTTAAGAGCCACAAAAGGACAAGGCTGTCTTGATCCCTAATGAAGCCCTTAATGAAGCCATTTCATGGCTTCTGGGTCCACCATGAACTTCTTTTTCCTTCTCCCTAGTATTTAGGGCTCTTGGCTTTACCAACGTCCAGAGAGTAAATTCCAAATAGGATCCTCCTGGGCTACCAACCCTGGTAATATCACTTTTCAGAGTTGTACATCCACAAAACAATATAAGTAAGAATGGTACATATCCACAGTGAGAACAACTCAACACTTTTTTTTTTTTTTTGGAAGTTTCCCTGACTCCACTTACATCAAATCTTAGGTCAAGAAAATTAACTTCAGTGTTCCATGTGATGATAAAATCCTTTCTTAGTGACACAGATTACAAACACAGTTTTTAGGGCTAAAATTCATTTATTATTTTAGTCTTAGAATTTTTATCATTCACTAAGCAAAATTGTGAGAGCTTATTACTTGTGACTTGGATATGTGACTCTTGTTTGAAATAGATGCAAAGAAAGAAGAGGAAGAGAGAGAGAGAGGAACTAGAGACAGAAGAGAGGGAGGGAGGAAGGATGGGAGGAGGGTGAGGGAAGATGGGGTGACAGAAGAGGGTATACTTGCTACATGTAGCTTACCTACTGACCAAACCAACAAACGGTTTCTGTACCAAGAAAATACTGTCATCTGGTAATCACAACCTAATATATCAAGAACATAAAAAGTTTCAGGGCCAGGCATGGTGGCACATGCCTTTTATTCCAGGACTCAAGAGGCAGAAGCAGGCTGATCTCTGGGAGTTCAAGGCCAGCCTGGGCTACAGAGTGAGACCCTTTCTCAAAAAAAAATTTTTTTTCCAAACTCCTGCTGCTAGTTGGAGGAAAGGGTTGTCCAATGGTATAGATGAAGATGAGTTTATGTCCTGAAGAGGAATAACTTTCTAACAACCAGAATCAAAGAGAAAAAGTTCAGAGAACATTAATATAAAATGTATTCTAAAATGGTGAGATGCTCAGAGGAGCACTGATTTTAAGGAGGCATTAAAAGCAAGGCAGACTGGATAAGTACTCCTGGGGGATTAAAAGCACTGTCCTGGGCATAGCATCTTCCTTAATTAAGTTACCACAATAAGATACAATATGGCCACAAGAAGTCAAGCACAGATGATACATACTAAACAAGATATAGTGAGCAGATAGCACTTCTAAATACCTCCATCCTAGAAAAGGTTACTGTGAATTAAAACATGTGTCTGCACTAGAGTAACATACTTAAAACAATCAGAAGGCAAATTCTTCAAAGCAAAGAACTGGAGACAGCCTATTTCTTCAATTCATTCTTCAATTCATAAATCCAGTATTATTATAAATCTAGTAAGGCAATTCACAGAAGAAATACAAATAGTTACTGCACATTTGAAAAAGAAAAAGCATTTGACCTCACTAATAACTCAGGAGACAGAAGTTAAAAGTAAGGCCTTTTTCCCCTCTGACATTAGCAAAGATAAAGCTGAATTCTCTAGCATCCTCTCTACCCAGAGAGCACAGAGAAGGGCAAGCATGCTGTACATTCATAGTGAACTGTACATTGGAGCCCTTTTGGACAGCAACTCTCCAGTACTCATTAAAATTGAAAATGCAAACAGCCACACTTCTGGGTATCTATTCTAGAAATACCTACCCTAGTTCCCAGAGATGCTCTCTGTCGTGGTGTCTACGAGAACTTAGTAGCAACTGAAATAGCCAGCAGTGGAGACAAAAATGAATAACATGCATGCAGCCACTGCGCAGAATCAGGCGGAGCTGACAGTGGCATGGATGGCTACTTAGCAGCCGCTGAGGGAAAACAATGCACCTGCACAAGCAACATAAAAGTTCCATCTCTTTTACAACTACGTATGTGCAAACAGAGACTAAGTGGGAGTTTTTGAAAGACGTTATCCCTGGGAGAGGTGGAAAGAGAAAGGGGTGTGCTAATTCACTTTTGAAAAACTTTATGAGTGTACTTTAAAAAAAAGAAATCATGTGAAAAGGGAGTTATGCGGGTGCGAGGCTATTAACCCGAGAATCCACAGGAAAATCAGTATGCGCTCTGCAGGACATCTCACAGAACTCCCCATGACCCTGTACCATGGCCACCCTGTGACTTCACCAACAAAACCTGCTCTGACAAGTGGGCTGGAAGAGACCCACTTGACTTTGAACCATTTTCATGGGAGAAAAGAAAGATATAGTTGTAAAACAACATACCTACTTTCCTCTGGACAAGTAATAATAGAGGAAATTCAGTTAATATTTTTCTTGTAAGTTTCCATAGGTGCTGGCCCAAACCAAAGCCACTATCAAAAGAGTAACAGACTGTGATCTCATTTGAATCTTTCAACTACCTGAAATAATACTCCAACCTAGACCCAAACCTAACCTATGAAGTTCAGGCCTGCAACTTTAAAAACCAAGGAATTCCTTTCATCTATTATAGAGGCCGATCCAACGTGCTTTCCTCTCTATTCTGTTTAAAAGGAATATCTGTTCATTTCCAAATGGAGCTCTCAAAATGACTCATTCAATCAGGGTTTTAAGCACATCATGGAATTAAGAAAGGTACAGTATTAATGATCATTATGCTATAAAATGTCCCCTCTCTAATATGTCTATTAGAAATAAGCTCATCAAATTGCAAGTTTACAAAAAGATAATCAACTTAGTAATATACCATCACTTGTAAAATAGAAAAGCACATACAGTGCCTTTCTCTAATGCACTTAATAAGAGACAATCTTAGGACAATATTTTCCAGGCTAGAATGTACTTTCCACTCACCCTAATAATAAACCTATGCCCAGATGGGAAATGTAGCCCGAACTAAATAAACATGCTATAGACAATGAGCAGGCAAGCCAGAAGGTGAGCTGGGGAACCTGAAATGCCTTTGCAAGCTAAAAAGGAGTTATTTATCCAGTGTAACAGATAAGACTGAGAATATAAAAAAGTTAGGTATTTGATGGCTGCACAATGATGGTGGCTTTGGTTTGGGTGAACAGAAATGCAACTTCAGGTCAGAGAGGAAAGTCAGTGGGTCCTGCCCCAGGAGAGCATGCATGCAGTCATATACTTTAGCTGAAGGAAAGGCACACCATACAGTGACACTAGAGCTGTCAGTCACTCTCATATCGCTGACATAATGTCAAAGTGTGCATACTATGTTCCTAGTGACAATAGGTGATCTACACAACTTTCTTGGAATGATGTATAGCCTAAAATTAATTGCCTTGAGAACCCAAGGCATAGGGGAGAAAAGATGAACAAAACAGAGAAAGAATGGGAAAGAAATGCCACATGAATATGAAGTGATTCCTCTCCCCCCCTCCCCCCCAAACACCCACACAAAGACAGCAGTTTCTGACAGGAATGTTCTTTGGCAAAAAATAAAATTACAGGAAGGCTTTTTCTTTTTTCTCTTTTTCTTTTTCAATGAGGAAAAAGGCAGTTCGATGTGCAGATTACTAGGCAATACCATGTGATATTTTTCTTAAAAGGACCATACTAACATCACTTGTATTTTGGAAAACACTATCTGAATAACATATCTTTCGGATCACAGAGAAATGGTGAGCAGAAGTTCAGTTCCCGTGTGCGGTGCTCACTTCTGGATGAATGTGAAATGAAGCCCGCCGAGGCAGCTTACCTTGGCACTGGAAGCCTTGTTTCCCAAACCCCCTGGAAAACAGAAAACAAGAACAAGCATCTTAGCGTTTTTTTCATTGAGACCACATTGTAATGAGTTACATGAACAAGTATTCCACGGGGTTTAAAAGTCTATACTTGGAACCCAATGGCTTGATTAGAAAAATGTGCCCAAGTATCTAATTAGATGAATGTGTATAATCATCTTTTTAAAATAAATACGTGAATCTGTCTATAAAGGATGGCTGAATTATTACCAAGCTCCTATCTAGTCTTTTCTCCTTTTGATTGATTCTTAAATTTCAAAACAGGAACATGACTTCATACTCAAAATTGTTGGCTACAATATTCAAATGACACAGCAGAGCTTGTGGTTTTAAATTGGGGGGGGGGCTTAACTTTTACTCCTGAACAAAGTAATTTTTTTTCTCCCTAAAGACAACTAAAAAGTAGCTTGTTAGAAGTTTGTTTCAAATAGTGTATATCTAGAAATTGCCAAACAGCACCACTGTTTACATTTAATTCTGGCTGGAGGAGCCCAATCTGATGAAGCATCGTTGCTATTGCTTGCATCTGAGATTCTCTGTGATCTAATTTTCATTGAGAACCAATGGCATTCAAAGCACATGCTGAGACCACTTGGCTCTTACAAATCCTTCTAGAGAACTGACTCTGTAAGCAGAGAGCCCCGAGTGGATATTTGACTACAAATACTGTTCCAACAGAATGAACTGCATCAAAATGTTCTCAGAGGCAGCTCATAATCTCTTGCTTTGCATAGCATTTTAAATTTACAAAGCACTCCACATTCCTCAAGTCATCACCGCCCCCCCAAAAATAAATTCAAACATAGTTTTTAAATACTGAAATAAAATTGTAAGTTAAAGACTCGTAGAAGCCATATGAAGGAAATTGAGAAATTAAATCCATTGCAAGATGATCTTGGTGGGGGATTCCCTAACCGTCCAACCGACTGCTTTCAGATTAAGTAAAGCACTTGCTTGGGGGACTATTCAGAGTGGAAGGGAGCAGGGATCTTTACTTCCACAACACAGTGTGTCTGGTGACCTGAGAACCTCCCCATTTCACCAGGGACTGCTCCTCTAGGCAGTGATAGTGGAGATTCATTAGTTAACTTGGCAATAATGTAAGTCCTTTTTCTAACTTATCTACTTCCGGTAGAAGTAATCAGAAGTCTGTCCCCTTTGAACAGTCTCAGGGTTAACACAGGAGGCCGAAAACTGCCAAATGCAATATCCTCTCTTTGCGCTTAAGGAGCTTTATCTACAGTTACCCGCTCCTTGAGTTCGATTGCTTCAGATGCTAACTACACTCTGGAAACTGTAAAGTGGCTGTGTTGTTCGCCAATGTGCATTTTTGAATGATTTCTTAAAAGGAAGGAAAAATCAAGCATCTCGTTGGCGCCCTGGTGGTGGGGCTCCCCTCTTGATTCTTTTCCGAGTGGCATGGGTTCAGAGCCCCCCATCCTACCCACTCTGATACCCCAACATGTATCATGCCAGCCCGAGGACCAGTTGGTGTCTAGGTGCACGGTCACCCCTTGCAGCTCCCCCTCCAGGAGGGAGCTAAGGAGTCCCCCTCATAGCTCTTGCTTATAAGGAACGTCTTACTCCAAAAACATGAAGAAGTGTCAGGGTCCTAAGAGAAAACTGAAACTAATACTCAAAGTGGTGGGAGCGAGTACTGGGAGTTAGTTCCCTTAGTTCCAGATTGCTAAGCACTGGGATTTTTTTTTTTTTGAGGGGAGGGGGTTTCATTGACAATTTAAAAATCAGATGAAAGCTATATTTCTCTCACCAGAAAAAAAAAAAAACCCTCCACAAATCTGCATAAACACAATTTCGCCTATTTTGTCAGGCTCCAGAGAGACCCCTGAACCCTTCCATCTATCCAGCCCCTCAGCTACCAACCGCCGGCATTCACTGGAAATCACCTGAAACGCTGACACCTTTAGCCATTACAGTATTTTTCTTAAATAAGCCCTCTGTCCTCATCAACGGGGTTACAAGTCTAATCTCCTGTTGACAGGGTCTATTTTAAATGACTCCTTCTGCCCTCTGCCATTTGCCTGCTGGGCTAGCCCTCCTCCCTCACGGCAAGCTTTCAACAGTTTGCTGCCTCCCATCTCTCTCTCTCCCCCATCCTCCCCCTTCTGGGCTCACCCAGAAAAGTCAAAGTCTCCGTGCCCAGTAGAAACAGCCTACAGTAGGCAGGGACCCAAGGTTCCAGTGGAGTCCCAGCCCGACGCGAGGCACAAACACTCCCCGGAACGCGCCCAGCCTGGCTCGCCAGCAACTTGGAGCGGCGCGCAGCGGCTCCCCGCTACTCCGGGGTGTGTTTCTCGCGCGTCTCGGGGCCACTCTGCCTCCAGCGTTCTCTCTTCCCGTTCCCTCCGCTCCCACCGGGCCACACTGGCCGCTCCGCTCGGCTATGGGGAAGACCCGTGCGCCCCAGAAGAGGCGAGGGGACCCCCCCCCCGCCCCGGCCATCCGTGTCACCCCCGTGCCGGGCCAAGCGTCCCTTCAGGGCAGGGCATGCGAGGCAGCGCCTGGCCACTTCCCGGGGAGTGTCCCGCGTGGGTGCGCGCGCCTGTCACTCCCGGCGAGAGTTCGGACTCCGGCCGGGCACTCTTAACTTCTCGGAGAGGTCCTGTCCGTGAGAGTGTGGACGCGCCTGGGCTTGGAGGCGTCCCGGAGCCCCAGTCCCCGGGACCACAAGAACTGAGCCTCGGGCAAAGGTGGCTCCCTGGTGCACCCCCACCCCCCGGGGCTACCGCGCGCACCTACCAGATGAAGTCGGTGCAGTGGCTGCAGAAGGTGGGTTGCTTGAAGAAGCGGGCGATGAATTTGTGGTCCTTCACCTCGTGCACGTTCTTCTGCCTCAGCGCCCCTTTGCGGGCGAAGCGGTTGGCCACGTCCTGAGACGCCGTGGAGTCGTTGGCCGGGTAAACGTCAGCCATGGTCCCCCCCAACCACCTCTTGCCTCCGCCGGAGAGCAGCAGCCGGGGAGGGCCGGGGTGGGCGGGGGCGGCGGCCGAGGTGGCGGTGCAGAGGTGCGGTGGTGGCGGCGGTGGCCGGGGAGAGCCGGGCCGGCGCTGCGCTGCTCGGAGCTGGGAGCGGAGGCGCTCTCTCTGGCTCTCTCCGGCTCGCTCGCTCGCTGGCTGGCCCCACGCTCACTGACAGCCCGGCGCCCGGCGCTCGCGCTTCCTACTCGCGGCGGCGGCAAGAGGCGGCCTGGAGCGGCGCCGCCCACTGCGCATGCCCGGAGAGCTAGCGTGTGTATGTGTGCACGCGCGCGCGCGCGGCTGGAGAAGGAGCGCGCGAGGCGGGGGCGCGCGAGGCGCGAGCCTGGGGCCTCTTCGCGGCGCTGGGCTGCGCTGCACGGAGCGGGACACGCGTACTCGGGGGTCCCTGTGAGCCCGGCGACTAGTCGAGGGCGGCGTTCCCGGGGAGGCCCTGGAGATGTCCAGCCCAGGAAGAAGCCGGGAGGGGCGGGTCCTACTCCTCCGCCGCCTGCTTCTTTTCCTCCCTTTTCCTCTGCTTCCTCCTCCCTCTTTTTTCTCCTCCTCTCCTTCCGCTCGTCGTGCCTGGCCTCCTCCTCTCCCCACCTTCCTCCTCCCACTCCCGCTTCCCTGTTCACACTTTGCTCTTTCTGGGATGGAAGTTCTGTCCAGGAGGAACCAGGCACGGGTCTCCCGACGCCACCCTCCTTAGCAGGTACATAGGTAATCTCTTCTCAAGTTACCTGGACCCACCGGCATTTCTGGGGTTTACCGGCGTTTTATCATCCTCTACCTGCTCAACCTTCCACCTAACTAAAATGTCACTCTAGTTTTTTATGCCACTAAAATGCCCAAGTCCTAATCCTCACTCTGCACGGAGTAGGTAGAAAGGAGAGGATTTGAGTAACTAATCGTTGGGCCCTCTTACCTACTTTCGATCTTTGACCTGCAATCCACCCGCGTATTATATAGATTTGTATGACAGTCATTATCACCCGGTAAGATGCCAGAGGACTTGTCCTGGTTTGTGATCTCGAAATTCAATGGCCATCAGAGCTGTGGTGCCGATGATCAGGCTCTCTTGATTTTACATGTCCAGAACCTTAATTTAGAAATCATTTTGCATCCTAAGCTAATTGCTGAGATACTGGCAGGTGTAGAGTTCAGCTAGAGCATTTGTAAATTACAAATTAAAACTGCTTGTGAAAGGGTAGTTGGAATGGATCTATATGCAATGGCGCACTTGGGGGTGGGCACCTGAGCGCCTGCTGAATATTTATTAGGTCTGCCTGGAAGATTCTAAGCCTCCAGACAGAAGCAACCATCTCCCAGCAAACGGTTCTTTCCCCCATTCTGTCCAGGCTGGCCTCAAACTCGAGAGACAATCCTCCTGTCACAGCTCCTGAGTGCTGGAGTTACAGTCATGGGTCATCCCACCAGCTACGTTATTGTTGAAACTAATGGCCAGATTCACTAAGTTCACAAAACAGCTTCGTGATTAAATCCATCAAGAAAGAGAGCATTCTTTAACTTGGACACCACAGCACCAGCCAGTGATCCCAAGAGGATCAGGAATTTAAGCTCTCAAGAAAAATTCGAAAAGAAGAAAATTGTCTAAGATACTAGCTTAAAGCATACCCCATAAACCATGAAAGGCTATTATTCTTTGAGATTGCCTAATTGTGACTCTTGATGAAAAGATAGCTTCTACATTTAAACAAGTGTGGGCTGCTGATTGGCCATCAGCAGAACAGGCCCTTGGCTGACCCATTTACAATCTGGTGAGGCAGTGTCTTAGGATTACTGTTGCTGTGATGAAACACCATGACCAAAGGCAGCTTGGAGGGGAAAGGGTTTATTTGGTTTACATCTCCTGAATCACAGTCCATTGAGGGAAGCCAAGACAGGAATACAGACCGGGAGAGAACCTGGAGGCAGGAGCTGATGCGGAGGCCACGGAAGATTGTTGCTTACTGGCTTGCTCACCAGGGCTTACTCAGCCAGGACCACCAGCCCAGGGATGGCACCATCCACAATGGGCTGAATCCTCCCCCATCCCTCACTAATTAAGAAAATGCCCCACAGGCTTGCCTCCAGCCCAATCTTATGAGACATTTTCACCATTGACAGCAGCTTTGTGTCAAATTGGTGAGCCTAGCCAGCGCAGCCAGAGTTATTGGTACTTAGTGATATTTTATATGGGCAGAAACTTCAACACTTCCAAGGCAAGGAAGCAAGGAGGGGAGAAGTCGGGGGAAGAACGAAGAGGAATGCACACTAGGACAATAGATCAAATTCTCCAGAAAACAACACGAGCATCTCAAGCCATCAGTGTTTACTACTTGATAGTTGTGGTTGAAATGAGGCATGGCGGAATGAATAACAGCCCCTCACACAGCCATGTTTACCTAGGATGGGGTCTTCCTCAAATGCTTACTAAAGACAAGCTTTTTTCTAGTTCCCTGAGGCATTGAGGGTGAGGTGGAGAGAAATGGAGGGTGGGGATGCTGATGTACCCTTGAGTAGCATAGCAGGGAATACAAGTAAGAACCGGACAGCCCGGGTAGCAGCCCGATACCTTTCTTCTGTGTAGAGAGGAGGGAAGTTATAGAGGATGGAGACAATGTCTCTTTCCAGTTGTGGCTTTGCTTCTGTCCTTATGGGTATGGAGAGAAATGGCTAACTGGAAGTCCATTGATTGATAGCTCAGCTGAGTGTGATTACATTAACTACCTTCATTTGAGCTCAGTTGGCCCAGAGAGGGCAGTGCACCTGGAGTGGAGAATGGCCAGTGACTCAGCCACACAATTGCTCCTCTAGTGTGGGGTTGGTCACCCTGCATGCTAGCCACCTGAGAAGACTCCCATGGTGCAGCCAAATGGAGAAGATTAAGGGAGAGAACTCTTGGGGAGGCAATACTCAGCGTTAGTGATTGTTTTTAATCTGCTGTTTCATGGAGACTGTACAGGAAATGAACTGAAAAGGGTAGGTGTAGCACAGGCCTTGTCAGAGTCCCTGTCTCTCCTGACTTTAGGGAGGAAAGGCAATACTCCTTGGAGAGCAGTCATCTGCCTAGCAGCTTGGTGCTGGGATCAAAGTCAAGGTCTTGAACTGATGGTTTCAAACTAGAGTGGTTGGCATAACATCAGTAGTCTTGACTTGCAGCATAAAACTTGTTCTTGTTCTAAGAAACCACCTGGTCTGCTTTCAACTGGGCTATTTTCTAATTGGGCAGTAGGAACTTCTTAAGTATTGAAAAAGCCTGTCACTGAGATTGATAGTAGCCAAGATGAATTAATCACTAAGGCTTTTTCAACATACTATAGAAAGCTTGGGGGGAAAGGTAAGACAGCAGCTCAGAATGTATAATCAAGCAGATAGTTAAATTTATGTGACTAGGAGGTCTTGGAAGAAATAGACTAGGGTCCAAATGAGAAGGAGAATGTAAGGGCCAGGAGTCATTGTCAGACAAGCTTGGACACCTGGTGAGTCAGAAGCCCCAGTCAGAGATGAGTACCAAGTCTTCCAGACACAGTAGAATGAGAAGCAGCTAAAATCCAGGTCTCATACACCTCAACAAGCATGAACCTCTGTCTTCTCAGAAGGAATGTTGGCGCTATTTTTTTTTTAACTCACAGAAAGATACCATGGAGGCTATTGAAGGTCCCAGTGAGCATCCTACTTGATTCCAGCTGGTGGCATGTGACCTGGAAGGATCCTTGGGTCTGGACTTTTAAGCAAGCCTTCACCCAAGACCTTTCTCAGCCTCCTCTATTTCACAGTATCACCATCACCCTGTGGCTTAAGTTGAAAGCCAAAGTGCCTTCCCATTCACCCCTCCATTCTAGCCCCTCACCCAATCTAAGATCCTGAACAGATCTCAGGGTTGTCCGTGGACCCCACTCTATGTTCTTATACCTTTTAAGTTTAAACTTCACAAGTCGTCTTCCTTTATCAAATGCCTCTGTTAATTTGTATGTGTGTATATGTGACTGTGTGTATGCAGTATGTGTGCACAGATGGAAGCCAGAGGAAAAGTTAGGCACACTGCTCTGTCATTCTCCACCCTATTTTCAAGAGACGGGGTCTCCCACTGAACCTGGAGAGAGCCTGGCAGCCAGCAAGCCCCACCAGCCCTCCTGTCCTCACCCCACACACTGCTTTAGTTACAGACACACCTGCCTTTTAGATGCTGGCATTGAAACTCAGGTCCTCGTGTTTGGGCAGCAAGCTCTCTTAGCTACTGAGCCGTCTCCCTGCCTCGCCAGTGCACCCCTTTAGATGTACTTTGTGTTTTGAATAAGTGTAAAGAAGTCCTTTATGAATTCATATAGAAGGAAATAGAAATGCTGATTTCTCTTAAATTAAGCCATAAATAACTCGGCCAAATAAAAGTAGGATTTCTGAAGGAAGTCACTATGATTTAAATGAGGTTTCTCCCTGAAGAGTTCATGACTGGAAGCTTGTCTTAGTGTGGCAATGTGGGGAGGCAGTGGGACTTTTAGAAAGTGGGGTTTAGTGGAAGGTGGAGAGGCTAAGTCATGGGCCCCACCCTGGAGAAGGATTAACAGAGTTCTTGGGTGACATCAGTACTTGTCTGAGCAGGTTATTATAAACTGAGGCTACAACATGTCTGTGGCCACTTCTACACCTAACTGTTTCTTTTAGTGTTTTTCTACCACCTGTAACATGGCTAAGCAGGCTTTTTACCAGTTGAAACCTTCTGACCTTGGACTGTTAGACTTGAAAACTAAGCCAAATAAACTATCTTTCCTTGTAAAGTATTCAGCCTCAGGTATTTTGTTACAGTTATGTAGAGTAGACTAAGAAAATGTGCAAGATAACTCAAAAGTCCAAATAAAGAAACAAGTGAGAAGACATATTCTATCAAATATCATTTAAAAAAAAAAGCAATGTAGAAAAGTAGAGATAAATGTCTTGGCCAGAGAATTCTCAAGCAAGATTTCAAGGAGCTGGAGAGATGGCTCAGTGAGTAGAGTACTTGCTTCGCAAGGATGAGGGCCTCAGTTTAACCCCCAGAATCCACATTAAAAATGCTGGGCATGGTAGCATGTGTTTATGTAATCCAGGCAATGGGGAGGTGGAAACAGGGGGATCCCTGGAGTTGACTTGCCAGTTAGCCTAGGCTAAGGAGTGAATCTCAGGCCAATGAGAGACCCTGTCTCAAAAAACACTGTGTAGTGGGCAACACCTGAAAACTAACACTGAGCTTGACCTCTGACCTCCAAACACATACATGCTTGCCCATTCTTTGCACACACAAAGAAACAGAAGATCTCCAATCCATCTCATAATTAGATACATGTAAATTAAGACCATACTGAAATTGCACTGTGACTTAAGATTTGGGCATAGCTTAAAAATTTGCTGTTTCAGTAAAGATATGTAATAAACAACTGTACCATCT